CAATTCACAACAGCTATTGGACAAGTCAAGATAGTGAAGTTTTGTTGGATGGAAATTAGATGGCAAGAATTTGAAAGGATACCCCTTCCATTCCAATACATACAAACTATTTGGAAGATATTTAGGGCCTTTAGATAAACTTGCATTTTTTATTACAAGCACTTTGAGGTTCTTCATATTCTTGAATGCCTTCCCATTCCATGGAATTTCTTTATCTTTGGGCAAGTCTAGAATTATGACTTCGATTGCATCTGTTCCCTTTGGAAAAGAAAAGCACACAATAAATGCCATATTTCAGTCATATGAAAAACATCAAAGGCAGGTATTAAAAAAAAAAAGTCATGCATATGGTGCTTACTGCATTTTTCTCTAAGACATCAAGAATGTCCTCATAACACCATAACCTATCATGTTTACCAGGCTTTTTTGGAGATTGTTGTCTAACAATTTCTTTTTCCATGTCTTCTATCAAATCATGCATTGTTACCCGACCTTTTTTAATTTTTATGAGAGATTTATCAATCAATACTCCAATAGCACATTGTGGTTGGACTCCACGAAAACTCAGCAACATAGTTATGACATCTAATTTCTCACCATTGAAAAAACAAGCTAGGTCAAGAAAAAGTTCCCTATGGGTTTCTTCTAAAGCATCATAGCTTAATTTGAGGATTTCGAAAATTCTTTTATTTGGTATTTTCTCATATCCATCTAATGTAGAAAGCTACTCATGTACTCTTTTACCACATAAGTTGGAACCAATCACTTCCAAGGCTAATGGAAGGCCACATGAATAATGAATTGCACGATTGGAAACCTCCATGTAATTGAAATCAATGTTGTCCTTGTGAAAGGCATTCCAACCAAGCAAATGAAGAGCCTCCTCCTCATTTAATTCCTTGACATCATAAATTCTTTCAACCCCATGACTTGTTAACAACTGTTTATCCCTTGTTGTAATAATGATTCTACTTCCATAACCAAACCAATCACATCTTCCAGCCAATGCTTGCAATTGCTCTAAGTTGTCAACATCATCAAGAATTAAAAGAATCTTCTTTCATTGAAACCTATGTTTTATAATTGATTTTCCTTTACGGACATTTTCCAATTAGAGATCTTTCTCCCCTACTAATTCAATAAGCAATCTCTCTTGAAGATGTGGCAAACCATGCTTGTTAGAGAGTTCTCTAACATCAGAAAGAAAACATAGTTCTTCAAAATTATCAGCAATTGTGTTAAACAAAGCACTTGCAATTGTTGATTTACCTATTCCACCAATTCCACAAATTCCTACCATTATGATTTCCTCATTAGACCAAAGATCTAAAAGGGAGGCTACTTCATGCACTCGAGGAGTCAGTCCAACTGGATAATCAGTAACATATAAAGGAGCACGATTAATTCTCGCAGAGACTTCCTTGATGATATTTGCAATAAATTCTTGCTCTTTTTCACTTCTGTGGTCAATTCAAAAGAAGTTCACCTTTAGTCAAACTACAAATTATGTTATACCAATCTCTATGTGAGAACTGGGGAAAAAAATTATCATTCCGGAAATGTTGCTGTGTCGTAATATTATCTTAAGTTTAACATAGTATTATTCTCAATTTAATATCATGTAATAGAAAATTATCTGATTAAAGATAAATATTACTATTTACATGTATAGTTATTGTAACAGTTAAATTAATAATGTTCGACGGTTGTATACATATAATTTAGTTTAAATTCTAAAATATTTTCTTACTTTTAATGGGTTTTGATTTGAAAAAAATGTTCAAAATAATTTTGCTAAATTATTGTAAATAGAGAAAGCAATGGAACTGATCAGGACTTATGGTGTTCATTTAATCTTTGAATTTGAATTTAAAGCATGAAAAACAGTTATATATAAATATACATATATTCTTGCAAACAAAGCCCAATGGTTTATGTAAATTAAATTCTGATAATAACAACAGAGAGTGCCTTTGCCTATTTAAATTAGTTGGATATGAATATGAAAAACAATACCCAAATAATAGAAATGGAAATGACACGCGAAAGAGTGAAAAGACAGATTACTTGGGTTTGAGGTGCCAGCCTTTTAAATTAGCTGCTTTAGACAAAGCCAACTTCCAATTTTGCACCTTTTGTTTGTTGTGCTCCAATCTTTTCTCAAGCAGGGCCAATGACTTGCCATAACTCCCACTTTGATGTCGCAGATCCGAGGGATCCACATGATAAAATACTGGATAAACCAATCGACCTTGTTCTTCGAAGCACTCAAGAATCGTATCAAGTTCATCCAAACAAAAAGTCGACGATGCATAATTCTCGGAGAAAACTATGATAGCTATTCTGGACTCTTGTATGGCTTTGAATAGAGATGGCCTGATTTCTTCGCCAATCCTGATGGATTCCTCATCAATGAAGGCATGGATTCCCCTTTGACACAGAGATTTATAGAGATGATCAACAAAACCTAAACGGGTATCTTCACCTCGAAAACTAAGAAACACGTCATAAGTCCAGCTGTAACAGATGGAAGAGGACGATGATCGCTGCGCCATGAGACCGGGGTTGAGCGTAGCTACTCAGATCGATGCCGTAAAGTGGCTAAAATTCCCTGACTAAGCTTAAAGATGGCAGACGCGTTGAATTAAGCGAGAAGAAATCTCACCGAAGGAATGGAAAGAGTAAAGGGTTGAAGTCTGGAAGATGAGATATAATAATTGAAGGTCTTCTCATCTGATCTGAACAGCGATGCTCTGCGTACGAAGGTAATCTCACCAGACCCGGAGCTTGAAAATTGCAGACCCGTAGAGTTAAGCGAGAAGAAATCGCACAGCTCTGTGGAGACTGGAAGCGTTGACTTGCATTACAATTTGCTGCCGATTCGATATAATTGAACCTTCGTCGTAGTAGGTGGAATCGTGTAGTTGAAAGCAAAACCTACCACAATATTAGGACCCAGCTTTTTTTTTTTTTTCTTTTCATTTTCTCCCCACTTTCCATTTCAACTATTAAATTTATTTTTTAATAATTCAAATTTGATATTTCATAAAATTATTATTAAAATGTGAAACCTACCACAATATTAGGACCTGATTTTTTTCTATTTTTCTCCCTTTTTATTTTCTCTTCACTTTCCATCTCAACTATTGGACCCATTTTTCAATAGTTCAGATTTGATGATTCATAAAATTGTTATTAAAATGTAAAATTTTATAAAAAATAAATATAATAATAATTTTATAAAACATTAAATTTCAATCATTCAAAAATAAATTTAATGGTTGAGATAGGAAGTAGAGAGAAAATAGAGAGGGAAGAAAATGGAGAGAAGCCAACTCCACAATATTACTTGCGGTCGTTGAACTTTCTCTTCCTGTTTTAAACTTTTAATTTAATTGATTAAAATATTGCATAAAAAATATATATTGAAAATTTCAATAAAAAAATAAAATCTACCCATTTTTTTTTTTTAAAATATAGTTGACAGCAAAACCTACCACGATAGTAGCGGCGTTCGTTGAACTTTCTCTATCTGTTTTGAACTTTTAATTTAGTACGAAAGTCAAAATCATTTTTTTAGACAAATGGATAAATTTTATTTTTTATTAAAATTTTTAATATATATTTTTATTTGTACAATATTTTAATCAATTAAATTAATCTATATATAGTAATTTTAAATTTTGAAAAAAAAATTATACTTAGTTTTATAAATTTAATGTGTATGAATCTTTTATAGATAATTTATTTTATAATAAATTCTTGTTATTAATTTTATTAACATATTAAGATCTATTTATCATAATTTGATTGAATATAAGTATATTAAGTATATAAAATTAAATACATAAGTCCTACTTTTTAAATTTTAATGGATTTAGTTTTTGTTGGGGGTCACAAATTGGAATATAAAATGAAAGTTCTTGTTTCCCTTTCATTTTCTGTGAACAACAGATGGTTTTTTTTTTTTTTGAGTAATGTTATTGGGTTTCATTTATTTTTTTGTTGTCCAAGGTTTTTCTACAGTCGACAGTCTCGACAGTCATGAGATTAATCTTTTAAAAAATTTGAGCATCATTTAAAGAGTTGTCCTTTCTTAAATAATATTTCTCCACATATACCTTTAAGAATTAAACTTTGAAATGATACTTAAAGTAACTTTTGGGCCCAAAAATAAAAAAAACCCATAACTAATCCCTACTACGACTGTTTCTTCGAAGGAAGGTTTGCGGGAGCTACTAATTCTAAAGTCAATGTCTCTTGCGAATTAAATATTTGTTGCATAGTTATTCCTTTCAGTAGCATGACATATTTAATTATTCTAAATTCAATGTTTATTCGAATGCTGATATGTGTTGATTATTCTCCTGTTTAATGGCTCACTATCTGGCAGAATTATTTCCTCTAGAGGAAAGCAACACGGCAGGGAGATCCGCTTTCACCATAAATGTTCTATCATGTTTAATAGTGGATCAAGAAAATAAAGGAAATTGGAAGGGAGTAAAACTTTGTAATTCAGCAAGACCGGTCACTGATCTTTTATATGCAGATGATTCCCTCCTCTTCTTTGAATGTTACAGGACCGTAGGCTAATATGAAGGTCTCTGACTTCCTCACCCTGACTTCTAATCCTTGGTGTCCAATTTCTTGGAACAGCACAAGTCCAAATCAATTTTTCCCTGAAAGTGTGGTTTAATGTAAATGACCCTGTATTTAATTGAAATTACAATTGAGGGTAAAGTATTTTGAGGATTTATATTATATATTTAATTTGATTAAGCATCAAGGAGGTTAGTCTAGTGGTAATTGAGTCACTTGCTCAAAAGCTGGACCTCACGTTTGCACCCTCCTAAGGCAAGAGAAGAAAATTTTTATTATTTCTAACAATTTGGTTAAATTATCATTTTGCCATTCATGCTAAAAAAAAAATTAAAAACAATCAGGGATAAGAGGAATCGGTAAGCTTCTGCTCCATTTGGTGCTGGTAGCTGACAGAGAGATTGAGGAAGAGAGAGCACGCAGGGTCCTCAACCCTGTTTTCGGTCTTCCTCTGTCGTCCTTCTCGTCTAGCGCCGGTGACCGTGAAAGGTCTTCTTCTTCCCCTGTCGTGTGTCGCTTAGAAGCATTGAGATTCATTTTGTTCTTCTCTGTTTCACGTCGCAGAACGCTCACAATCGCTGGTCATTGTAAAGATCATCCGATCACCGTTCTTCTCCGTCGCCGGCTGTGGGTTCTTCGATTTTCGGCTGCGGCAGTCGCCCTTTGCAGCAAAAGGTTCGATTTTCTAGTCCTCTCCCCCCCCCCTGTTCGCATTACTCGGTTTTTCTTCTCCTCTTGACTGAATTGATCTGGTGTGGATGTATGGGCTTTGGTTCCTTTTTATCATCCTTCCTCTGCTCTGTTGGTGAGTCATTGTCATTTTTCCTTCTCCTCCTTCGGGCAGCAGCGTCATTTTCCTCCTCCTGGTTATGGTCACTGATTTGGGATGAAGAAGCTTCAAGTTCTGCTCATCCTTCTCAACTGACTTGGTTAGCTAAATTCATTTTCTCCCACTTTTTGGCTGTGCGTATATTTTGCTGAATGTTGTTTAAAGATGGGATTTTGACTTTCCCTTTGTTTCAGTCGTTATGTGAACGGGAGGGAGAATGGGAATTTTAAACTGGCAAATGATAGACGTGAATTGATTATTTGTTAGGAATGAAAATTTGAAAAATTTGATAAACTTAAAATTTACACGGAAAGCTATTGGAATGGGATTTGTAAAGAAAATAGTTGGGAATTATAGTTTAAGGATTGATGTTTACAAAATGTTCGATGAAATGCTTACGAGGAGAATTTATCATATGAGGACAAGATATATGGGTTGATTATATTGTTGTTAATTAGATAATTATCATAACACAAATTTCTTTAATAGAAGTTGGGAAGTTTGGTTGGTTCCAATATGGATATAAGACAACCTAGAAAAGGAATTGAAGAGGAATTTGGTCATACGGCTTAAGTATTGTGCAGATGTTTAATAGAATGTTTGAAAAAAGAAGATTTTGGATTAAAGGTAGCAAAATATTTGTGATAGTTATTGTAACACCTTCAAATTTACAAACTGATTTTTCGCAAATTATTAAAACTATTATCATGGTAGAAAATTTTCTTACCATGATACATCCAAGACATAACACAAGTCTTAAAATATCCAAAAAGGCAATTAAAACCATGAGGGACAGACATAATCCTCATGGCATGATATTCAAATCAGATCATAAATCAAAAGGGACAGACATAATCCTCTTGGTCATATAAATACTTTTAATAAAAAGGATTAGAGTTTACATGCTTCACAAAGAAGATATGTCCTAAGTTGGCACAAGATACATTGTATAATCCAAAATAAGAAGCAACGTAAAAGATGGTGTCTCATACACCATAGTTACACTTCTGGTGTTTTCTCGGCCGGACTCGATCCTGTAAAAATATTAACCACGGAGAATGAGACTTAAAAGTCCCAGTAACCAAAAATTAATAAGTAATGATGCATGCGGTTGTAACTAATTATGCGATTGCTAAGTGGGCACACAAAACCTTTAACCGAACAATATTTTCAAACAAACCGAACAAGTATTTAATTTGCATGATTGCACCTTATATTCTCCTTTCGCCATGCTCGGATGCCAAATCACCCGGCCAAAGGTGAGTTGGACCAAGCGACACGTCACTCATTGGGTCCAATGAGGGCTTACCACGTGGTAATAATTAACCGAACAGAAATTCCCATTAACACCATACATTAAAATACCCTGACAAGTCATGCATCATTCAAATATCCAAACAGAAATATATCCGAATAATAATATCTCATCATGATAAACAAAAATAAATTTTTAACCCACTTGGCAATGATTTCACAGAAGTATATAACAGTATTTATTTTCAATAATTCATAATTTTTTCAAACAACAAAACAATACATAACCATTCGCAAACACACCCATCACAACACATTAATAATGGTTACCTTGTGTCTTGAATAACAAGTTCCCCTTCACAACTCCTTTTTCACCACTATCTTTATCAATATAATCTACATAATTATTTCACAATACTATATATTAATTTTACATTAAAATAAATAACTCTAATTTAAAGAGTTAGAAAGTCTTAGATCTATAATCCATATTAACACTAATTTAAGATTTATGCCTCATTTAACTTCTCAAATTCTTTTCTAAAATTCTCGTACCCTAATAAACTATTTTTAAGCCTCAAATTACTTCTAGTATCACAATTTCATCCTTCTATATTCTAAAAATTCACCCAAAAATAAATTAAAAATTTTAGAATTATCCTGAAGCCTCAAATCACCTTTCTATAACCTCAAAAATACCTATTCATACTTAAATAAATATTTAATAATCAGAGGTTCATCTCTACATCTCAGATTCCACATAAATTCGACCATATAGATCTAGATTTTAACTCAAAAATTCTTAAACATGAGTTTCAACCTCAAGAAAATATTTTATAATATTTATTATATCTCTAAGAGTTTTAACCTATATTTTTAATACATCATATCATCAGATTAACTATCCTATAGAAAAATTCTAATCAAAATATTTACTCTATCCTACAAAATAATCATATCATTAGAAAGCTAATATTATTTAGAAAATAACTATAAAATTAATTTTGTAATTAAATAAATTTTTAAATGTTAATCTAAACAGGAAAGTTAGAACATACCTGAAGAAAAAGAAAATAATCCCCCCTTGCGAGAAAACGCCGAGCAACGTGAGAGAAAGAGAGAAAAATAATATAAAAATGGGATTGTGAGTCCCAAAATTATATTAAAAAAAACTATAGGTCTGAATTTAATTATTCAAACCTTTGGGCCATAAGTTGCAATTTCCTCTAAATTGCATCTTAGCCTCTCATGCTTTCTAATGCACACACCCCCTCCTTTTTATACATGAAGGCACCTCTTCTCTTCCCTCATCTAACCAATGTGGGACTTAGAAACAACAACCTTCCCCCCCCCCGGTTTTTTTTGTTCCTTCTACCTTCTCTTTTTTTTAACACACACATAAAAAAATTATTTATGTATTATATCTTAACTAAATATTACTTATGTGGTTTTAAATTTAAATTTTTAAATTCATAATTAAATACCTAACCATAATATTATTTCTAAATAACCTCAAATAATATAAATTCCTATTATTATCATTTTTTCCTCAAAACCTAAATTCTACAATTTCTTTATTATATAAAAATCAGGATGTTACAGTTATCTCATCAATGGTTAAACAATCATTGAAGGCATTTGTTCCTGATAATGAATGTTAAAGTAGAATTTAAAAGTTTTTAGGAAAAATATTTGAGTTGGTAATTCTAGAACCAAATCATTATTTATATTCATTCTTGGAATATCTTTGGGATGTTTGATAACATGTTTATCAAAAAGAGTTTGATTTGATTATGAGTTTTCTAAAATTTCATTAACTCTTTAAGTCTTATGAAGATATACTTGGCTTGGATGCTAAATATTCATAAATTTGACTTGAGTTTTGTGAAGAATTCTACTTATTAAGCTATTGTGAGTTTAACTTGAGTAATGCAAATAAACTTGATAATTATGGAGGTGATGTGTAGCTAGATGGACATTTGATGCAGCATTTGAGAAATATTGGAGTCAAGATTTATATAACATCCTATCCTATTACGTTTTCAGGCCCTTTTACTGTTTTTTTATTAAATAAAGCACTAGTGCCCCTATCTTATAGAGTGAGCAAGGCTCTTTTGCTATCAATGAAATCGAAAGAAACACAAGAACCTAGTGCAGTGCATTTTGTATAGATCAAGACTTGTAGCTTGATTCTTTACTCATTCCATATTGGGAAGAATTGTGGGAAATCATTCGATAACACCTCTTCCTATTTTTCAATAATATCTGACGATCAAGACAATTTCCATGAAACTCTTTCATTTCATAGAAGTTTCTTCTTCTTCTTACAAAGCAAATAACAGTTTAACTAATGGCCAAAGTCTTTCTTCACACACAGCCAGACCTTCTGCTCGATTGTTTGTTGCTGAAAGAAGGCTGGAATCTGTCTCTCCCTAGCCCTAGGATAGAATGTGACCTCTTTGTCTCTACTCCCCCTCCCCAACTTCCATTGAAGTAAGGGTGGGTTCTCTCCTTGTTGGATTTCTGTCTTTCACCATTCAATGATATTGTCAGTTTGTTTGTTGAAGTCAAACAGACAGCTTTGACACTTCCCATGCTCTTACAATATCTTTTATAAGAGAAAGAGATATGGAAGAGAGTTTCACCAAGTCTCCTTTTCTCTGCACTCCTTTTGCTTGCCTTATTTGGCCATTCAGCCTTAGGGGAGGTGGGTGAACTCTAATCCTGACTCAATGATTGTAATGACCTAAAATTTACAAAATAATAATAATAATAACAACAACAATAATAATAAAATATTCTTCTAATTTATATGTTTAGATAAATTTTATGGTAAATAGAGAATGGTGACTTAGTGAAACTTATACTAATAGTTTATTTAAAGATTCAGAATTTGAATTCTTTTAAGCAATGGGTTAAATTCTATTAGTTTAAAATTTTGGAAAAATTACAAAAGTGCCCGTGTTTGTTATGTTATTATAGGAAAATATTGTGCCCTCTTTTGTAATTTTCACAATTTCCTAATATCCAGATCTTTATTTTCCTCCCTCTCGGTCAGGCGCACGCACAGATATAACACCATTTTCTGGATCCTTCGACTAGGGGGGTTTTGCTAATGCCGTCTCCCTCTGTTCCTCTTTGATTTTTCCGGTTCAATTTTTCCGGTGAGTTCTCATTGTTTTGCCTCCAGCCAAGTCTTCCGCATTTTTCCTCTTCTTTTCTTCTCTTTTCGGCAGTGCATACACGTTCTGGAGCAGAGGAACAGAGTTGGAGATTTTTCTTGGTTCCAGTAGCTTCGAGATCTTTGTCTTCTACCCTCATCCCTGTTACTCGTCCAATCGCCAGCAACCTTGAGAACGCCGGAATCCTTACTGTGGGTAGTGCACAGTACTTCGTCCAGCTCTCCCCTGTTCCGTATCATTTTCTTTCTTCAGCATCTGTGTAAATATGTGATGTTTGGAAAGAGGGAAGCTCAAATAAGAGTCATACGAAATGAGTTTGGAGCCTTGAGGATATTACAGGTAAGTGGATAGCGTCCCAACTGATATTTTATCGAAATCTCTTTTATTTGAATATTACATTTTTATGCAAATTATTTTTACGACACCAATGTGATTATGAGACATTTTGTTGCTTAAATTATTTTATTTTGTGAAATTATTTTACCAGAGTTGATCATTTTAGTTAATCAGTAAATACAAGTTTGAATTTTAATTGTGGGATTTCAATTTGAAAATTATTGAATTGTTACGGAAAAACGATTCATGCGAGTTCGAAGTTGAAAGTTTTTTTTTATAAATGCAAGCATGAGCAGTGGATATGAAATTTGATTCTGGCAAGTTTTAATGCTTGAAAGTATTCATGCGAGTTTGATTTTGAGAATGAGAACTGTATCTTGAAAGTGATGATTTTCTCGCATGTTTGAAAAATGGTTTTAAAAAGGGACTTTGTACAGAACACTGATTGCTAACGGCAGTTTCGTTAGCCCTTGGCACGCCATGGTACACCTAGCTAGCAGGGTGTTCATAGGAGGTGCTAGCCCCGTGCGATGGCCAACGCACGTGGAACGGAGGGATGGTTATTCGTGAGCATAGTACTCACGTTTGTTTCATGGCTTCAAGCCGCGTTTGGTTACTTACCCTCATGGATTGTGTGTTCACGTTTGTTTCGTGGCTTCGGCCGCGTTTGGTTATTTGCCCTTGTGGATTGTGTGTCCACGTTTATTTTCGTGGCATAAGCCGCGTTTGGTTATTTATCCTCGTGGACTGTGTGTCCACGTTTGTTAATTATTCTGATAAGTCCCTATAATTATGAATCCAATTATTTGATGATTTTATATTCCATTAATTTTTATTCAGTAATTTGTTTATAAATATTTATTTCATTTACGTGCTTTTTTTTAAAAAAAAATCAAGTGATATTATCAGTTGCTACGATAGTTCAATGATTTGAGATTTTCTTTGAATTTTTATAGAGACATTTTATTATGAAGTTTATTGAATTTTTTGGAAATTCTTGTTTCTTTAACTTACATATCCATTTTGAACTTTTCATTTTATTTATGTTTTATTATTTATTGTTGGGACGTTATTCACTGGAAAATAAATTTTGGCCTCAGGTAGTATAAATTGGGCTTGTATATCAAGATGTTACTTGAGACATTTTATCACTAAAGTGGAGTGGAAGAATTATTTCGAACAAGTTTTGCTTGATGAAAATTTGAACCCTGTATTAATTTCATGGCCTGGTCCTAATTGCTCCACATATAATGTAGGTAGGATTCTCGTCTTTCTTTAAAGACTGTATATATTTTAGTAGGGAGCGAGATCCTTTTATTTGATTATTATTGTTCTTTGTCATACATTTAAGAAGTCTTATTTATATGAAAGTTTTCTAAAAAAAAAATTTAAAAAAATTTAAAAAAATAAAAATAAAAATATGCCTATAGTTTTGCATGGACCAAAGTATATTTGTTCAAGGCTTAAGGGATATGGGTTTTATACACATATTCCGTGCCGGTCACGCCTTAAATTTTTGGGGCGTGACAATGATAGATATCAAGTTAGAACCACTAATTAGATAAGGGGAGAATTCCTCATCAAGCATAACGACTTTTATCACTGAGATAAGACATGATCTCCTGTTCAGGCTAATCAATCAACTCAATAGATTAGCATAGATGGAGAAGGAGATTGGCTCGTTGATCTTTGATTCAAGAGTATTCTCGGCTGGCCTAACTAGTTGAACCCCTGAGGGCTAATCCATCAAGATCATAGCTAAGTCAGAAAGACAACCCTTTGAGAAAAACCAAATATGGAGAATCTTCAGTAAGTGATCGTTGTTGTCATGGAAGGGTTCTCTTTGAACAAATCCTATTTAAACTAAGCCCAAAAGCACAGGATGAGACTTTTCTTTCTTCTTTTTTTTTCAGGTATGCCGCTCCGCAAGAAAGGAAAGGAGTGAAATAAAAGAACCAAGTGGGTTGTGGTAATGTTAGAATTTACACCTATTTGTATCTATTTAGTGATTGGTCTACTAGTTTCTTTGATCCCACTCGGTCTTCCTTTTCCCTTTTCTTCTAATAGTTCAACCTATCCAGAAAAATTGTCGGCCTAGAATGTGGTTTCAATCCTTTCAGTGATGCTAGAAGTCATTTTGATATATGATTTTATCTTGTTTTAATTTTATCTATTATTCCTGATTCAGAAGTAACCTTTTCCTTTCCTTAGGCAATACCTCATAATAAGATTGATCTGTTTGGATCTTGGTCTATGATAGCCTTTTTATTGATTTTAACGATTGGATCTCTTTATAAATGGAAAATGGGTGCTTCAGATTGGGAGTAATCACTAATGATAGGGCAAAAATAGGGAGGAAGGACAAGGGAAAGAGCAATGCCTACATTAAATTAGTTGATTCATAATGGTAGAAAAGAAAAACCGTATTAGAGCTTCAGATCAATGTCCCTAAAAACAAGGAGTATGCCCGTGTTTTTCAATGAGAACACTAAAAAAACCTAATTTATTTTTTTAGAGTAAGAAGTGGAACTACAAGAAAGCTTTCTTTATCTTTATGGATAACCAATCCATTTTAAAATATAGTTAGGAGACTTCACCCAAGAAATGGGTAAAAAAATGGAAAGATCAGAATATAGGAATAGATCTGATACTAATACGGACTACCCATTTCTATTATTGTGCTTTCTTAAATTGCATACCTATACAAAGGTTCAAGTTTCAATCAATCTTTGTAGAGTTGATTATCCCTCTCGAAAATGAAGATTTAAAGTGGTATATAATTCACTGAGTACTTGGTATTAACTCATGCATTCATGTACAAACTTGTGCAGACAAAGTGACATGAATATTTCCAGCAGTCAGTCTATTTCCATCAATCGACCAGTGGGAGCGAGAAATTTAGGATATGTTTGGTGTTTCTTCCATCAATCATCTAGATCTACGTCATATATCAACTAATTATGGTTTCGAGGGTCATCCATTATGAAAAGACCTTCCTCTGAGTGGATATGTAAAAGTATGCTATGACGATCTAAAGAAACATGTGGTTTCTGAACCCATTGTCACTATTTCAATTTTGCTAGTCCTTGGGAACAACTACTGACAGATCATTTAGAATCTGGATAGGTCTAGTCTAGGGGACAAATCAATAGGAAATGCTCTTTGCTTTGTAAGAAGAAGAAGAAACTTCTATAAAATGAAAGAGTTTCACGGAAATTGTCTTGATCGTCGGATATCATTGAAAAATAGGAAGAAGTATTATCGAATGATTTCTTGCAATTCTTCCCAGTATGGAATAAGTTAAGAATCAAGCTACTAGTCTCGATTTATACAAAACACACTGTATTGGGTTTTTATGTTTCTTTCAATTTCATTGATAGTAGAAGAACCTTACTCACTCTATAGGATAAGGGTACTAGTGCTTTATTTAATAAAAAAAGGTAAAGGGGCCTGAAAACATAATAAGATAGGCTGCTACTCTAGGCTCACTTCGCTTCTTCAAAGGGCTGATTATTTATAAACTTTTTTATAAGTAAGTAAGCATTGGTAAGAGCGGAGGGATGATGATTAGTATATAAATAAATAAAGATAAAAAAGAAGAAATGGCAAGATAAATTTTATGTTGATGTAGGAAATAACAAATTTCAAAACAAGGCAGGGATTCTCTATAATGACCACCCGTAGACTAATTGAAAGGGATGTAACACAGCTTGATAGCATATTTGTTTTGGGTACAAAATGTTACGGGTTCAAATCCTGTCATCCTATCCTTAACTATTCCTTACCTTATGAGTAGTAACAAGGGATTAATTGAGACCGATTAAAAGTAAACCATATATACTCAATAGAAATATATGGATATTCTATCAATATACATATATATATATATATATATATATATATGATAAGAGTTCTATATATATAGATTATGACAGTATATGCATGCAAGATGAATTGGGGTCACATAAATTGATTTTATGAAAATAAAGCGCTTTTAGTTCAGTTCGGTAGAACACGAGTCTCTAAAACCTAATGTCGTAGGTTTAAATCCTACAAAGCATGATTCCATTCTTATTAGACTGAGAATGATACTAAAATAATGGAATAGTAGTCTAAAGTCTTAATTTTACCTCATGTGGATTAGGATTAAAATAAAGAAATAGGAGGTCAATAAAAAATATTAATTAATTAAAGGTCCAACTGATCACCACATTGGTATTGTAAATATGTAGTTACGAATAATCTAGCCAAAGGAATAAGAATTAGACCTAACATGATTTCAAATAGAAAAACTTCAATCATTTTTATTTATTTGAAAGGAGGTAATATATATCCTTAAATATTAATATGTATTGCTTATGAAGCTCAATGACCAAGAATTGGAAATTGACATGGTAAGGGACTATATAATATATTGAATATCCCAGAAAGATTGATTTTTATGAATTATTCATTCAAAAGTTCTAATGGACACCCTGGGCATTAGAAAGCTATTTTAGGGATGTCTTCCTCGACTATAAAGATCTAGTTGTAGTCGAAGTATCCATCCATAAAAGACAATACCACATGCAAAGCGGCGCCATTGATGAGTTGATTTGCAACTGGCATAGTTTGCTCATCCTTTTGACTAGCAACGTTTAGGTTCCTGAAATTGATATAGATTTGCAGCTTTCCATTCTTCTTTTCTTTCTTACAGGTACGATGTTTGAAAGCCAGTTGACATACCTTAAATCCAAATGAATTTAGCATTTTGGAGCCTTTCTATTTCCTATTTTATCTTCAGGATGATTTTCGTGGACATCCACCTTGGTGGTTGCTTATAAGGCTTATATCCCTTCATGATGGGAAGACGGTGTTCTACCAAGTCTCTAGACAGACCAAGCATTTCATCATATTCCTCAGTAAAACAGTCCTTGAACTCCCTGAGAAGGTTTCTCAGCCTCTCTCTGAACTCCCCTATTATTAAGACACTAATGTAAATAGGTCGATGCCAGTTTTTATTTCTTAGATTGACCTCCTCCTTTGGATTTTGGACTAAAGCTAGGTTGTCATCAAGCTTTGTCGGCGCAAGTTCAAGTTCTTCGATTTGGATTACCTCCTCGGATGTATATGTTTTTATTGAAATTTCTACCTAGCCAATCCATTTTAAGGTTTCCATTTGTCTTTCTAGAGTGTATATCTTGAGTTTCTTAGTCAATGTCTTGCAGGCCATGACCTTTCTGTTGGTGCTTTCAGGGGCTTGATCTATTCATGGTTTGAGGATCGGGGATGAACCTTGCCAGCCTTAAAGAGATTGGCTTGACGAGGTTGAGCCATATATATGCATGCCTTCATCTATCTTCTTTTTGTCCTAAGTCACATTATTAGGTTTACCATACTAGCTCTGTCCTAAAAAACATATGAGGCCCACGTTTTCTTGGTACAAGAACGTCTCTTAGGCATGCACCTTAACAATAAGTGGCTCCTCATCTACCCAGATGATTTCAATATCATTTTCATTCCAAAACACTAAAAGTTAGTGCAAGAATGATGGGACTACCATCCAAGTATGGATTTAGTCTCTTCCTACCAAGACCTTGTAGCTGGCAGTAGCCTTTACCATGAAGAATGCTATTAGCTCAATTTTTCTGCCAACTGTCATGTTTGCAGGGAATACCCCCATTGTTTTAAAGATTCCTCTTATGAAATTAATGATGCATAAATTTAGGGGCAGCAAATCATCTTTGTTCTTCTTGAGTCAATTCAAAACTTATGGCAAGATAGTAACTGCGACCTTGCC